ACCATTAATTTCTTGTCATCTGACCACGAATACATCAAGCACTTACCACAGAATGTGGATCTCAGGGCGCTCTCTTCTCAATTGAGAGGCAACATGCAGTCAATTTGCCATCCTCAGTCTTTGAGCTTCATTCATGTGGCCATATTCCGTCAGCACCAGTAATCTTGAAGCTTTGTTGTTTTAATTTGCCTAATTTAATTTTGGTGGCATCTTTATGTGAAAAGGCTAGCATGTGCTGTATGATTTGAAGTCATTTGTTTATTCCAGTTAAAGCATGAAAAGTCAAGGCACATGGAACGTCAGTGACGCGCATCTGCTGGAATGGCAGTAAACACCGAAGGAGCTCAGTCTGTCATACAGTAACTGATGCAGATGCTGGGCAGATTTCTGCGGCTTCCTTCACATGCGTCTTAATTTAGCATGCTCTGAATTACTCCTGGGGCTAGGCTGCCTGCAGAAGGCACCACTGGTGTGCTACACAGCCCTGCCACATTAAAATGAGCACCAACCAAAACCACAGTAATCCTATGCTGGCAGTACAGACATCAAGCATTTGCATGATGTTCTGCACTATGGTGTGTGAAGCAGACATATACAGAACTACATTTGTGTTTGCTCTGTTTTGTGTTTCAGTATTTCAGTCTTATTCTAATATCTTCTGTAAATTGGACAAAGAATATAAAGGAAAAGTTACATAATACTTTGGTGTTAACTCGCCTGGCTGAGGAAACGCCCCTCACAGCCCCCCTCACTTGAGAGGAATGAACCAGGGAGGCAGCTCCAAGGGTGATGTTGGGGTGGGGAGAGGAGTGATAGAAAAAATGTGCACAGAGTTTTGGGCAGCCAGGCAATATTTATATGTAGGAGAGTACAAGTGCAAGATTACTATTAAACCTCCTCCCAAATGTCTCTTAAATAACATTATTTTTTATGTGTTCCTGCATTTTTAAACTTCTGCAAAAAAAACCAGCTCTTTAAATATTAAAAGAAAAAAGCAGTTCAACAAATAATTTAAACAAAATAATCTGCTAATGGAAAATAAGTTATTCTAGCTCATTTTGTGAGCCAAGTTCTGTGGTAAGTGTGTGATGTATTCGTGGTCAGATGACAAAAAAATAATGCTGCATTCATTTTGTGAATTATAAAAGGCTTTCCAGATGATCTGGATGTGCTGGATGCGTGTGTTTATATATACATTCTTAGCTCAAACTACAATGAAAAAACGCTCTCCCTTGTTGTACACTACTTTAAAATATGGGGAGGAAAATTACTTAATTGACCTCATCATGTCAACATTTAAGGAGTCTTCTAGAAGATAAATATAAGATTCTCATACCAAATAAAAAGGTGAGAAAGGGGATGTCTTTTTCCAGGCCTTTAAAATACAAAACCTGTTCTAAGAAAGATATTTTTACAAGATGCTTTTTCTAGTGTCAGGTGATATTATCTGACACTGAAAGTGGCTAAATTAATAAAAAATAAAATGTCATTACTATTCATATATATTATATTAAGTCTCATTTTCACAGTCAGGATTTGTATGTGATTGGTCTTTAGATCATCTTTTGGTCTGGTCTTTAGATCATCATTTAAAAACAGAACTCTATTTGTCCAAAAGTACCCTTCTTATCATGGAAATGTTTAATAATATTTAGTTTATATATAAAGCACATATAATAGTATCTATGAGGATTATAACAAAACTACTCTTCATGTGAGTAAAAATTGATTTTCCCATCATGAATTCATTATTTTTCCGATGATTGAAACTTGTACATTTCAGATAAGCTATTCTATAATGACAGGGCGTTACACTAGCAAACAAGCTTCAAAGGAAATAGAAGGTCTAATTTTACGTTAAATGGTAAAACAGAAGAAAAAAATTGCAAGCCTTCTTCTGTGGAGCTGTCTTCAGGTATGACAGCTCTTCTTCACACTTTCAGCATTAACCTCTGCTACTCCCTAAGATATTACTTTGACTTTTTTCAAAACAACCACCTTTGGAATATTAACAATAAATGTGGATTCTTAAATGGTTATGGCTTCAGTCTCCATGGTCTGTTTCTGCTTTTGTAGTCCTCTTTTCAAGCCAGACAGAACTAAACCCTTTGTAATTCCCCATCTTTGAAAATTCTGAAGGGTAGTTTAGATATTGGGGTCCTCAAATAAGACTCCCATATAGCCAGGGGTGTATAACCCCTTCTGTGCATTGAGCCTGAGAGAGAAGACAAGGGAAACAGATCTCTTCTGCTCTACAGAGACACCAGTTGATATTCCCTCCTGTAGGCAAACAGTTCCTAAATGTTTTTACTATCACATTTTCTTTGTAGTATTAATCCTTCTGAACTAATTAAAAGAAGTTTTACTCTTTCCAGTTTGGTCCTCTGTTCTCTCTTATGGTCCTGGAAAAGAGAAATGTATCATAAAAGGGCAGAGTATAACTAAAATAATTACATTTCATTTTTATCCCAAAACGTCTCTTATAAGGGTCAAACAATACAAGAGGAGGCCGTGGTTAAGGGCAGTACTGAAATGCAAGGCAAAAATGTTAAATCCCCCACTTTAAGATTGTAGGAAAATCCTGAAATCAAGCAGATTACTCTTCCGCTACTGGCATTAGGAACTGCCTATAGACATGCACTGGAAGATTGAAAGTCAGTTAGCAAAAGGGCTGCTTCAAGAAATCAAAATGGCATACAATGAAACCGTGACAGTGACTTGAAAATATCTACATGCAATGTGCAAGGAGAGTATTGGTGAGTCATATACCTTGTGCAGGCTGGTAGGGTTACCCCTTGTGATCATGTAATCAAATTGTATCAGAGGTATTAAAGATTTCCTGAGACAGTTGCCTGAGAAAGAGGAGGAGTTTGGAGAACTTGCAACCCTACAACTTGGTTGGTCGTAAAGGTGTGCCTGAGAGGGTGGTTAAAGTCCTCGAGACCACAATGTGCTGCACTGGTCCCATGAGTCAGATTGATTATGCCTAGCAGTTATTGTTGAATGAACTTTTGTCTTATGGGTCTGATCCTTGTGTTGGGATGTGAATTGGGCACTCCGAGGTGTTGAAATCTGGCACCAGGCTGATTTTGTATAAGAGGCCAGTGTGTAATAGTCAATATTGCTTCCTTGCTAAATCTCCTGGCTCGATGGAAGGGATTACTGCTGGGTTTCGAGTTTCAGTAGTGGATGTGACAGAATCAGTATTTGACACGGCACGTGCTCTCAGATGAGACTGCTATGGGTTTGTCACTCCACAGGACTGATGCTTGTGGGGGCAACACAGGGTGGGGGGTCAGAGGGGCCTGAAAGGATGGCAGGTTAGACCAGATTGTACACACTGCATACGCCAGGCACCAAATTCCACTAACCTTGTGATATTTTTATATTAAAAAATAACATGGTGCACATACATATAATCAAGTTACAATGTCACCAGTACCATTCCATCCACTACCCAATTAGTAGAGCTGTAAATCTAGATAAAAGAAAACTCCATGACAAGAAAGGGTGCTACATTTAATTTATTTTACCTCAAAGAGTACATTTGTAATCTGTTTACTTAGAAAGCATGTCTTGGTAAACCACTTCTGGCTCTCCCCGGCCCCTGTTCCTCACCACGACACTTCCGGGCCACGTCACCACATTGCTTCTGAGTTGCTTTATGACAGCAGATTACTTCCTAATGCACGTTCTGTTGCTGAAGGAAAACTCTGCACTCCATAATCCATCTTGGGTGAATGCAAGGAGGCAAGATTTGTTTGGGAGCAGCTTCTGTAAATTGTGGATTTTGGCTGGAGCCTTTATCCAAGCCATTTTATAAGGCTTGCATTACAAACGTACAGTGCTTTACAAATGCTTGATAGAAAAAAAAATCAGACATGTCTTAAGCGTGTTCAGTACAGGGGTTAGTTTCTGTGTTGTTTACACAATACAGGAAACTGTGTACAAATACAAAACATAAAGTGCAGGACAAATACAATACAATTGACATGGAAAAGGGCTGCAGTGCAGAGCAGTACAACAGTCTTTAAGTACAAGATTGTTTTTAAACTAGAAATATTTTGCAACACTCACAAATCAAACTGCAGAGCCATAGGGGTTGGGGAATATCACACTCTAACTGGTTTCAATCTGTGACTGGCCTGTTTGATGCTGCCTTGTGACTGAAATGATTTGTTAAGGTTCATTGTTAAAAACGTGATGGTTAGTGTTCTTCAGTGTGTCACATCCTTTGCTACATTTTTTTTAAACAGACACTGTCAAATATGAGGGAGTCATTCAGTTCTTCCACAGCACTTCTTCAGTTGTACAGTAATTCTTTGGGTTAGAAGTCAAATGACCTGTTTTCTCAGGTGTTCTTCATCTGTTTTGCTAATTGAAAATAATCTGTAAGGGCTGTCCTTGAGAACTGGAGTTGCTCCATTCTGCCATAAGTACACACGTTGTGCCTGAGCATCAGTATCATTGTAAGCAACCAGCCGTGGATGTGTTTGTGCCTGCTCCATCTTGTGCTTATTGTTTTGCATCAGACCAGTCATGTCTCTATCAAAGCTGATGACTACTGCAAGGCTGTACTTACTATGTAAAACTTTATCTCAAAAGGTCATTGGTTTAAGAATTAAGTTAAAATATTAGTCCCATGGTAACTTATGGTGACACAGTGGTTAGTATTGCTGGATTACAGTGCTGGAGCCCTGGGTGCAATTCTAAAGGTAATATATGTGTGGAGTTTGTTTGTTCTCCCTGTGTTTGCATGAGTTTTTGTCAGGTGCTCCAGTTTCCTCCCAAAGCCCGTGCTTCTCTGTGTTAATGTCTGTGTGTGCCCTTTGATGGACTGGCATCCCATCCAGGGTGTATCCTGCCTTGCCGGGATAGGCTCTGGCTTCCCTGCTTCCCTGTGGTTAGACAATGGATGGATTATTTCTGTTTCAAGTCTGTACATTTTAAAAATGACAGGGCCCTTACAGATACTGTAACACTCTCTGTCTCTTCTGCAGGTCTGGTGGAGATCTGCCTGATGCACCCGCTGGATGTGGTGAAAACCAGGTGAGTTTCTGTGCTTTGGAGCCACACTCTCTTGGTCCTGGGACACTTCTGAATCAGAAGCTGATATCTCACCATTTGCAGTGTCAGAGCTTGCCACTTTTGGAATTCATCAAGTGCTTAAAAGATAAGAAGTGCCGAAGTTTTAGAGTCAAGTCATTGTGTTTGCCGTAATCAACAATGTCAGTCTTCCCTCGACATTCCTAAAGTGAAGGTCCTGGATGAGGGATCATAGCATCAGGATATTTTCACCCTGAGGTCTGTCTCCCTTCAAAGCCCGGCTCTGAGAATAAGCACTTTCCGATACACCGTCATACACACAGAACAGATTTGCCTGATATTTTCTGTAACCTTACCATCATGCCTGTCTGTAAGAATACAGTACATAGACTTCCGTCTAGTTAATACACAGAGACGCAACATAAGGACATAGCTGTAGGTTTTACAGAACTTACAGTATTCAGTGTTCTAGATCAATAGACTTTACAAAACAGCAATGCAGCACAATGTTGACCTGTTGGTGATGGTGACCTCAGCCCTGCTCAACGCTGGTTGTACAGTCAGCCATTCCACTGGCTCTATATGTCATCATATCTCATAGACTGGTAACATACACCCAAGAGGGAGACATGGCAGTGTGTTGCTGTGTGTTGCTGTGCTACAGTGTAAGCTGTGTATCATTAACAATACTAGAGTACCAAGTATCAAAGTTTCAAATGCTGAATTTGACAGACCCCCCCCCACGGCACAATGTCTTTCATATCAATACTGGTGGCTCCTGCAACAAAATTCACTTTAGAAAGATACAGAAGCTCTATGGCGGGATGCTCCAAATGTTCAAAAAATAAGATGAGGTTTTAAAATGGATACAGTTTTAAACTTTAATGTTATCGACAGAGTTTACTCCCTTTAGCTATTAATTGCAGCAGGGTTGTGATGTCATGTTCCTTCTGTGTTGAATTTAGGAGGAAACAATACAAGTATTCCTAATGATATCAAATATAAATCATAGCAGAGACTATAAAAAATGTCTGGTTTAGGTTCGGAGTTGGGGTTTAACATAATGTTTGGCTCAACATAAATAGTAATGTATCCCGTATGTCTAAATTTGTCTAAAGAAAATTAAAAAAGATTCCGAACTTCAGTAAAGTTATTATTAATTATTTGCTTAAAACATTCCCTTATCCAGGGCTACTTTCAAATTCAGAAAGTAAAAAATACAAATGTCAAAATTAAGAAGCAGGTATTTCTTACAAGTGCCAAGGCTTGTGCATGTCCACCCAGCAGTTAGCTACATGTAGGTAAGAGCCATTCGGTACAGTAAAGAATGATGATCAGTCCACATAAATGTCCACTGATACTGTCTTGAGTGAAAGAGGATTTATCTTCTACAGATAAATCTGGAGGAGAAGGTAAAAGGTGGTCAGAGACTGAGCAGTTCTGATAAATAGTAATAAATGTTAAGATAATATTATGTACCCCCTATGAAGGTGTTATACTAGCAAATTAAAACAACTTTTAAATAATGTTACCTATAAGAATTAGGCATATACAATTAAGGAAAATATCCTTGATTTTTTGTTCATTGTCCAAGTACTGGCATAGTTTTGCGTGATCCATTCAGCCATTCATTTTATAACCTCTGCTTCAGGGCTGTGGGGGAGCATGAAGTTATGCTAGCAAGCAACAGGCACAAGACAGGACGCACTCTGCATAGGCCGCCAGCCTATCACAGAGCACACAGGCAAAAACACACACACACACAGACACACAAACTCACATCAGAGCCAGTTGAACCTACCAGTCTTTGGACTATGGGAGGAAACCAGAGCCCCCAGAGGAAATCCACAGGAACATGGGGTGACCACACAAACTCCACACAGATAGCACTTCAGGTCTAGCATTGAACCCAGGGCCGCCATGCTAAGCACTGTGCCACCATGCCACCCACCCTGCAACAGATGAAGTTGCAGTCTCTTTCGGGAAAGCACCTTGCATTCAGTGCAAGAAGGGTGTTTCTCTCTGTTATGTCCTCACAGGGCCTAATCATTATGTGCCTGAAGTAGATTGCATTTTCTTGAGCTGTTGGGGGACATCCGATGGGAAGCGCCCCCTAGCGCACATCCATACTGCAAGGAATCCAAGCTGACATCTTGAATTTGATTGTGCTTGACTGAGTTATAAGATCTGCTGGGAAATTAATGCTGAAGAACGAATTATAGAAACCCTCCTTAATGTTTTTTTTTTCTTAAAAGCCCCAGCTAATTCTTCAAGGTGAATTAATAACATTGTCTGTATCTTACAGTTCTGTAGTCCTTGGCATGGAAGCTTATTCTTGATATTGAATCCATATGAGAGAGTCCCTGGAGGTGGAGAGGGGGCTTGTACTGTCTGATCCTCAACCTTCCTCAACTACATTTTCAGCTTTTTCCAATAAACCTTGTTAGAATTCCTGAAAATAACGGATAACATTGTAGCTGTGCAGGTTGTATGGTCCATTGGTTTCTAACATAGACACTTACCTCTTCAAAAAGCACAGCAAGTACTGTTCATAGACATACTGTTAGGTTCTACCGGAATCCACAGCCGGATTCAATTCTTTCTAATACGTTTTATTGGTGTGTCTAATTTGTATTGGTGTAATGCAATCTACTTGTAAAATGCTCTGTTTTGATAGTGCATTATTAGCTCCCTATAAACCTCTTGCCAGTGCAAGTCTGCTCATGCTTTTCCCTCAGCATTACCCAAAGGAGGAATGATAGACTTAGTATGTTGATGACAACGCTGAGTGAGTTCAGAGACAGCAGCCAATGCCAAGACAGCGAACAGCTAATCAGACATGAAGGCATGGTGCTGAGTGAAAAGCATAGCATTGCTCAGCTGTGCAATGTGTGGTTTTGGATTCATGGAAACGTTGATGCCTAATGTCTGAATAAATGTCCAGTAAAATCCATCATCCTTCATGAAAAGCACTCAGAGTTGTATGTATTATGCTCATGTAAATTGTATTTGGTGGAGTTTGTAAACCAAAGTTTAAGAGCAAAGGGCTAACCCAACTGTAAAATATATAATTGGATGTACTGTATAAGTATATTGGCTCCAATATTGATTTTGATCACCTGTTTCCGTCTTTATCGCTTTGCTTTCTCTCCGTTCACTCCATTATCTCCGTTTTAGCAACCTCTTGTCTTCATGGATGTGAGGGTGTCTTTGGCGTCCTCCAGTCACCATGATATGCCTGTGTCTCAAACTGCTCACATACTGCTCATTACTTGGGTTAGCCCGAAGCTGTTGAACGCAAGGTATGCTGGAATATGCAGCATGTTGTGACAGAGAAGCATTTATTATAATAATAATAATAATAATAAGTGCTTAGACTTTTTTCTGGACACTCCACTCAAAGCGCACTACAGGTAATGGGGACTCCTCCCCACCACCACCAATGTGCACCCCCCACCTGGATGATGCGACGGCAGCCATAGTGCGCCAGAACACTCACCACACACCAGCTATCAGTGGGGAGGAGAGCAGAGTAATGAAGCCAATTCATAGATGGGAATTATTAGGAGGCCATGATTGGTAAGGGCCAATGGGAA